AGTGGTCTTAGGAGAGGGTTATGTAATACAGATCAGTTCTGATGTGACACTTAGTGATATAATGGAATTTACAAAAGCGCAGCAAAATAACAGCTAAAACACAACAAATATCCTACTAATTGAAAAATAATGCCCTTTTGCAGATCATCATTGGCTAAATGAATGCGGATTCTAAATATTCACAACCTAATAGACATTACTAAACTTGAAAAAGATTACCTGACATACAGAGAAAAAGGAAAAATCGTAACACATTTATTCACGCATTAGCAATGTTATATACGCACAAAAGTAAAAATGAACTTCCGAAAGCATTGCACACAGGCAAGACATCATTCATGTTCAAAGCATAAATGCAGTTTTAAGAGTTGAAATTATTGCATATAGCATAATGTAAGACCCATGCAGCTTCTAAATGACACAAGGAAATCTATTCTTCTGGAACAACGACGCTGATCTCGCCCTTGTCGAGCATGTCATAAAAGGCTCTAGTTTTTCGCTGCTCATTCCAGTGGTGCATCTTCCACAGCCCACCTGCCAAAAGCCCTAGAGTTATCCCAATGCATATCTCCTTAACAACACTGGGGCCCTTGAGAGTGGCATGAGCAATCTTGTGCGCAGCCATCCTTCTCTTTCTTAAGTACCACAAAGACCACCTAAATGATAAAGTGAAGCAGAAAAAATTGGGGGCAAAAACCATTCAGAAATAAGTCAAAATTTACGCATGAAAACATGAAGTTCAAATGAAAATGCAAGACTAAGGTTTTGTTTGGGACAGCTTTCTTACTGCTTTTTAAAGCATCTTTTTAATATAATTTTTTTTTTTAATTTTTAAGAAGCAATAAAAAAGCTATCCCGAACGAAACCTAAGACTTCATTTGGGATGGCTTTCGTACTGCTTCTTAAAGCAGCTTAATTTTTATAGTAGAAAACTGTTTTAAGAAGCAGTAAAAAAGCCGTCTCAAATGAAGCCTAAAACTCCCACATAGGCATAACCAGTGGTTAAAAGCAAGTGGCGGCAATATATGACTACCACTTTCTATTGCCAACAAAATTTCATCAACATCCAAGATATGTTCCTGCCAAACAATTTTAAGGTCATATATGGAGGCAAACTGCCAATGTCTAAATCAAATGGTTAAGAATTTTAAAACAATCAAAAAAATCAAAACCTATATTAAGGTCGATGATAATCAATGAGAATAAGATTGGGATATTTAATAGATTTAAGTATAAAAGTACTGACGTGAACAGAATTACCGATGGTGTTCTAAATCAAAAACATACTATGCTCCTCAAATTAGAGTATAAAATTTTTTGGAAAACCTACTTCAGAAAGAACAAAATGTATCATTACAATGTACAAAAGAGAATAATATAAAAGAGAATAATATAATTGATGGTGATTCAAATGGATATTCATAATAGTAATATGAGTTTAGGAATATCAGTTGGACTAGCCTAGCCCAGACCCTGATGAGTTTGGGGCCCTGAAGCCCAAAACCAAAATAGGAGTGATCAGCCCCTTTAAATATAAGGATTTTTTAATGATCAAGGAATTTAACCATAAGCAACAAGAAAATAATGAGCCTTATTGGGATCAATTTGGTACAGTTTTTTCACTTCTTTATTTTTCATAATGCTGGAATACTTTTATAGGGTTACTTTTCTTTTTTATTACTTTTTTAAGAAACATAAGAGGAAAAAGCTGCTTTTTGCAACTAGATTTGCAAGAGTGTTGGCTGCAAAAAAATGCTGTCAAACTTTTTCAAACAACCACTTTTTTAAAAAAGAAACTATTTATAATATCTACATCAGCATTCCAAAAACTATATTTTCTACAACTCTACAATTATATTTGCATGAAGTTGTAACCACTCCAAACGGAACCTTAGATTGCAAGAGGCTGCTAGTGACTGCTACTTTGAATAAATGCCTATAAATTTAAGTGTTAAATTTACAACCGGAGCAGAAGCAGATTTTTAATATAGCATTTATGCCCTCTAGTGTATAGAATATTTCAAGAAAAACTATATACATATCCTCTGTTATATAATTTTTATGAAAACAAGATTTCTAAAAAATTCTTCTTGCTTTCAAAGACCTGCCTTGTGAAGTTCTGCAAGAAAAATCTTAATACAAAAGAAAGATCTATGTAGTTATTTAAGAGATTTAAGGGCTAAATTTTCATTAAAAATTTAATCGAAAAAAAAGGGATTTAAGGGCTATTTAAAAACAACAACAACAATCATTTATCCCACTACGTGGAGCCAACTATTTAAGGGCTTTCTAAAGGGATAATTTTTCTTAAAGGGTTGTTTGTTTTGTTAAAAAAAAAATGTGAAGTAGAAATGTGATTTATTTGAAATGTTTGGAGTTATTTGAATTAGTTCAAAATAATTCACATATTTTTTTTTTTTTTCATTTTGGTCTAAGCAAAATGAATACAATGAAAACCCAACAATATATTCAAAAACCAGCTAAAGTCATATGAGTTTTGAATACATTAAAAATGAACTGTATAGTAAATTTGAAACTAACTAAAATTTTAATGTACTTTTCTTATGCATCGAACTAAAACCACTGCATTTAAAACACTATGTATATACACCTATTGGCCTTCTCAGATGTTTTCATAGATAGCGACAGGATCATGACAAGGCCATCCTTTTCCAGGATTAGCTGCCTTAAAGGACTCACCCATAGATACCCGGGTAACTCACCAAAGGAGAGGCAATCACTTGCCCGCATGCATCTAGGAGCTCGCCCTACGCTAGGCGACCATGAGGTTCCTTGCTAAGCAAGCAAATCAACATTCATCTCAATCAAGTTCTTACTTTCTAAGCTCACCAAGCTTATTTATGAGAAAGTGCCAACCTCCATGACTCCTCACTCCTTCGACTACAACTTATACTAAATTCAAAAACTCATCACCCCCGACAACATCCCGACTCGACTTCCTTCACAAGGCAACACAGAATCTTCTATGTTACTCCCCGACTATTGGTCCACTTCCTCTCAGGACTCACCCTATGCCTATTTGCCACCTCCTGAGCTCGCTCGATGGCAGGCAACTCACCAAGTCATTGACTACGTACTCATGTAGCCAATCAAGAGACTCCACGCATCTGAGATTAATGTGTAGCATTGTAAGAGTGCTTTTTGTGTAGCCTTTTTGATAGCCTGCAAAATCCTATAAATAAATGGCAGTGAGGAACAAGTGAAAGAACTTTTCTGAATGACTTTTTAAACCTCTTGACTTTCTAAGCTTTAAATTACTTCAATATTCTTAACTGAGATAGAGAAGATTTTACCAACTTATTCTCCTCCAATCTGCATTCTATACTCTCTAATCTCATCAACAGGTTCTCAAGCTCACCAGGATGATATGATACTATGTCAGGAATCATCTGCCGGAGAAAATTAATTTCAACATCCTCTTAGGTACGATGAGCGTGGATCGATGCCAATGACAAAAAATTGCTTCAACTTTACGAGCAACCTCAACAAGAACCCTAAAAAAGTATGGAGAATGCCAAATTTACTCCTAGTAGCATTCTGCAAGAGATGGAAGAATTTCACAACACACTACACAGTCTCCAACAAAGGCAATCACAGAATAGATCCTTTCACTCAGCAGCTCCCCAGAGGGCTCAAAAAGAGCACTCACCTCTACACCTCATCCTGATTACATTCACACATGGACAAGTGATGACAACTGCATGACTGAGCGAGCCAGGAGGAAACCAGAACTAATCAATACCTTCTCCAAGGCGATTATCAAAGACAAGCTACCTACCAAATTCATGGTGCCTCATTTGGAATCGTACTGAGGCAAGTCTGACCCCACAGATCAAGTAGCAACTTTTGAGTCTATGAGCTCCCTGACGGACATAGATGATGCCCTCAAGTTTCATCTCTTCTTCATGATACTTAAAGAGTCGAGGCTAAGGTGGTTCACTCACTTTCCTCTGGGAGTGAACACCTCCATTTTTATTTCAAGATAATGTTTGTCACACAATTTGTTAAGGCTAAGAGATGGATGACACTAAAAGGAAATGAGGGAAAGGACTATTCAAGTTTTCTGTAGATGAAAGTATGATATTGATATTCCATTTAATGCAGTGAGATATGACAATTTCCCTACTATAGTCGAGGCACTTGGACAGTTTGGACCTAAAACGAAGCCTCCTATATATCATGAGGTATGAGTTACTTGTTTGAAGAAAGAGGTTGAGCATACACATGAAATATTACGATGTCATCAAGAAGATTGTGCACAGCATAGTTGTTCTCTAATGATAGATGCATGAACATCAAGGAACGAAAAAGCTTAATAATTTTTTATTGTGAATTGTTCAAGAGGTTCCTTATTTATAGAGTCAATGGATGTCAGCCCTTTTTCCAAGAATGTTATAAAAATATTTGAACTATTTTGCAAGTACATTGAGATTATTGGACCACATAATGTGATCCAAGTTGTTACTAATAATACAGCTGAAAATGCTCTGGCAGGTTAGTCATAACCTAAACCTACATTATTTCATATGAAGAATAATTTTTTTTGTGCTAACATAAATTCCAATCATATTACAAGAAAATTATTAATGGACAAATATCCTCACATTTATAGGACTCCTTGAGCTGATCACTGTTTGGATTTAATAAAAGAGGATATTTTCAAAATCCAAAAGTTGAGGCGATGCTTTGAAAAAGCAATGACAGTACACAATTTTACATACTCTAGGCATTGCTTACTTGATTTAATGAGGTGCACAAATCAAAGAGTACTTGTCAAACAGGCCAGGACTCATTTCGCAACAGCTTTCTTGACGTTACAATTTTTTATTAACAATTGAACTTGAAGAAAATATTTACTTATGAATAATTCATTTTGGATCCTTGTGCAAAAGAGGCTAAAGCAAAGCAATCTCAAGACAATCTTGCAGTAGTTATTTTGAAATAGTATTGTGTATGCCTTAAAAATAGTTGGGCATTTATTGAAGATTCTTAGATTGGTTGATGGAGGGAAGAAGTCCCCCAATGGCATACATATATGAAGCAATTGATATAGCAAAAAGAGGTAATTACTATTTAGTGACATTGATAAATATGATCAGATTTTCAACATAATTGATAGAGAAGGACAATCACACCGATCTCTACATGTTGCAGTACATTTTTTAAATCCTAAATATTTCTTCAATAACCCTAAAATTGCCAAGGATAAAGAAATAGCTGATAATCTTTATTAAGGTATAGGAAGATTAATGCTATCTACCATCATATTTATAATCAGCATTTGATTCCATAATCTCTTTTATACAATAATTTATCACTTTATCATTTCTAATTTTATCACACATCCACCATAGTATAATCAATTTTGTCATATTCAAGTTAGCTATAAGTGATTTGTTTTTTGCTCAACCCTTAAATCTTTACAGTTTAGTTGGTCTAATTATAATTTTATAGAATCTACCTTTCTCATGATTCTCTTGTTATTTGGCACCACTTAGGCACCTCCATTTTAGTAGGCATTTTCAATCAATGCTATTGTGATATCGCTAATTTCTTATATTAGAATGGCTATGCTTACATATGTCACACAAGTATCACTGCATTACAAAATAATAATTAATTATCAATTTTGATCTACTTATGTTATTGATCTTGCACTATCTCTTTATTCAATTAATTCTATTCCTCTTTTTGTCTTAAAATTTCCTTAATCATTCATGCTTTTATATTTGTCATCTGGAAATAACATAATCCAATGCATTTGAAAATAACATAATCCAATGCATTTGACTATTAATATTTTTCTAAGGGGAAATTTACGTACATACCACTTTATAACATCCTATTTACATATCTAACACCTAAAATTTTAATATTACATGAATACCACCCTATATTATTTTAATATCAAATATACCACTTACATTTCTTTCCTACCACTCATATATTTCATTTCTACCACTCATATTTGGTATGAAAATGAACTATGGGTGGTATGTATGTAATATTAAAGTTTTAGGTGTTAAATATGTAAATAGCATAGTATTAAGTGGTATGT